CCCAGTGCCAGGCCCTTGGAATCCCATGTGCTCTGCAAGAATAGCTCCCGCTACCTTCACCAGAAGCTCTGTGCAGAGACAAGGACTCATCAAAAGAAAGAGGGGAGTGGGGGCGTTGGCTTATCCTTAGGAGGCCAGAAGTGAGGTTCGTCAGAGGCTGCAGAAGTAATGACAGCCCTGAGACAGGCCGAGCTCACTTTAGTGTCTGTTTGGACTGGGGATTTGTTAATGACATTACCCAAACTGCAGCGTTAGGAGACACCACCTAGCAGAGATCTGAGTCATGAACTAACACAGGAAAAGGCTGCTGTGAACACTGACAAGATGGGTGGTAGAAAACTGTGATGATGACAGTGATGATGACAACTACCATTTACTGATGTTCCTGGTTTAAAAAAATTTTTGCCGGGCGCGGTGGCTCAAGCCCGTAATCCCAGCACTTTGGGAGGCCGAGGCGGAGTGGATCACGAGGTCGAGAGATCGAGACCATCCTGGTCAACATGGTGAAACCCCGTCTCTACTAAAAATACAAAAAATTAGCTGGGCATGGTGGCGTGTGCCTGTAATCCCAGCTACTCGGGAGGCTGAGGCAGGAGAATTGCCTGAGCCCAGGAGGCGGAGGTTGCGGTGAGCCGAGATCGCGCCATTGCACTCCAGCCTGGGTAACAAGAGCGAAACTCCGCCTCAAAAAAAAAAAAAAAAAAAGAAATCTGTTTAACTTTATGTAACCTGCATTTCCCACATCTAATTGACCAAAGGGCCCATTTTTCTATGGCATCTATCAGTGTCCTGTGGACCCGGCATTCTCTAGGACACATGCTGGAACGCAGTGCCCTACTCACCCTCTAGAAATCCACGGAAGCAGCATCTCTAACAAATCTCCCACCTTCTGATGACCTTAAGCCACTAATCCACTCTACATGTAGCCAGAGGCTATAGCTCAACTCTGCCAAAACACAGGCCTGCTATGAGTGTGAGGGCTACTGCATCTTTGGCCTGAGGCTGTCCTCAAAAAAAGCAAAACTCTTCTCTGAAGTCTCAGAGTTGGAAAGAGGGGTGAAGTAACTTGCCTGAAGCACGCAGCTACACAGAGAGGTGGGGGCATCATTGGAACTCCAGAGGTCAAGGCTACAGTGAGCAGTGATTGTGCCACTGCATTCCATCTTGGGCAACAGTCAAGACCCCATCTCAAAAAGAAAGCAAAAAATAAAATAAGTCAAATATAGAGTTAATGTATATGAGTCAGCCGTTCTCCTAAATATATGCTCAAGAGAATGGAAAACGTGCTCATACTAAAACTGGTACATCAAAACTCATAGCAGCATTATTTATAGTAGTCAATAAGAAACAATCTAAATGTTTATCAGTTGATACATGGATTTCAAAATGTGCTGTATCTATGTAGTAGAATATTATTTAGTCAAAAGATGAATGAATCATGCTGGGCACAGTAGCACGTGCCTGTAATCCCCGCCGAAGTGGGAGGATCCTTTGAGATCAGGATTTTGAGACCAGCCTGGGCAACATAGCCAGACATTGTCTCTACAAAAACATAAAAATGAGGCAGGTGTAATGACATGCACCTGTAGTCCCAGGTAGTCAGGAGTCTGGGACAGGAGGATCACTTGTGCCTAAGCGTTTGAGGCCACAATGAGCTATGAGTGTGTCACTGCACTCCAGCCTGGGTGACAGAGTGAGACCTTGTCTCTTTTTTTTTTTTTTTTTTTTTTTTTTTTTTTTTTTTTGAGACGGAGTTTCGCTCTTGTTACCCAGGCTGGAGTGCAATGGCGCGATCTCAGCTCACCGCAACCTCCGCCTCCTAGGTTCAGGCAATTCTCCTGCCTCAGCCTCCTGAGTAGCTGGGATTACAGGCACGTGCCACCATGCCCAGCTAATTTTTTGTATTTTTAGTAGAGACGGGGTTTCACCGTGTTGACCAGGATGGTCTCGATCTCTTGACCTCGTGATCCACCCACCTCGGCCTCCCAAAGTGCTGGGATTACAAGCTTGAGCCACCGCGCCCAGCTGGAGACCTTGTCTCTTAAAAAAAAACAAAAAATGATAAATCATGCTGCAACACAGATGACTCTGAAAACATGCTAAGTGAAGGAAGCCAGTCTAAAAAGACACCATATTGTATTATTTCATGTCTACGGAATGTCTGGAATAGGCAAATCCATGGAAACAGAAAATGACTGTTGCCTTGGGATGGGGAATTGGAGGAATAGGGGGTGACTGCTGGTGGAAACTCACTTTCTCTCTCTCTCTCTCTCTCTCTCTCTCTCTCTCTCTCTCTCACTTTTCTTGCCCAGGCCGGAGTGCAATGGTGCAATCTTGGCTCACCACAACCTCCACCTCCCGGGTTCAAGCAATTCTCCTGCTTCAGCCTCCTGAGTAGCAGGGATTACGGCCATACGCTACCATACCCAGCTAATTTTATATTTTTAGTAGAGTTAGGTTTTCACCATGTTAGTCAGGCTGGTCTTGAACTCCCAACCTCAGATGATCCACTAACCTTGGCCTCTCAAAGTGCTAGGATTACAGGCGTGAGCCACCATGCCTGGCCGGAACTGGGTTTCCTTTTGGGGTGATGTAAATGTTCTGAAATTAGATAGTAGTAATGGCTCCATAACTTTATGAATATACTAAAAAACCCTGAATTATGCGCTCTTTTTTTTGAGGTGGAGTGTTGCTGTCGTTGCCCAGGCTGACATCCAGTGGCGTTATCTTGGCTCACTGCATCTTCTACCTCCTGGGTTCAAGCAATTCTCCTGCCTCAGCCTCCCGAGTAGCTGGGGTTACAGGCACACACCACCATGCCCAGCTAATTTTTTGTATTTTTAGTAGAGACGGGGTTTCACCATGTTGACCAGGATGGTCTTGATCTCTTGACCTTGTGATCCGCCCACCTTGGCCTCCCAAAGTGCTGGGATTACAGGCGTGAGCCACCGCGCCCGGCAATCCTGGGGTTTTTATAGGCACAGATTGGGAGCGTGGTGGGCCAGGGTGGTCTTGGAAAATGCAGCATTTGGGCATGAAAACAGAAACAACCTGTCCTCACCTCTGTGGGCACAGGCCCAGGGGTGGAGCCCTAGCCAGGAGCAACCTTTCTCTATGAAGCACTTCCCTGCCCCCACTCCCAGATGCGATGGGCTCTGGCATCCAGCTGGTCCCCCTCTTGCACAGATGTCTGCAATACAGCTGTGTTGCTGTTGGAGCTGGCCCTTCTTTGTGTCTTTAACCCTCACCTTCCCTTCAAAACCGAACACTGGTTAGGTGAGTTGCAGGCGATCCCTGCTCTGTGGTGCCTTTCTCACTACACTAACTACAAAACTACATTAACTGTACTGACTCTGCTAACAATACTGACAATTCTGACTGTGCTCAAATACTAAGCAATGATGTGGAATATACTAACTTCACTAACAATGCTAACTAGAAAAAGCACACCAACCCCGCACACAAACCCTCCCTACATACCAACCCCCCCACACCCCAAACACCCTCTCACGCACAAACCCCACACACAAACCCCTCCACAACAAACCCACCATACACACACACACACACACACACACACACGCACACACACACGCATGCATGCACATGCATACACAGCTTGCAATCGCTAAACTGGTCTGAGTCCACAGATCACCAAATAAGCTTCCAGGGATATCAGACTGAAAACTTTGGCCCAGCCAGGGCCTTATATAGGCCCTGGGTGTGATTCCATCACAATGGCTCTTCATGAAGTCAGAGCAAAGCGTGGGCCGGTCATGGCTGGGGATCATTCACAGTGATTTTCTTGCTTTTGGGCCCTAAAACATCTTTTTTTTTTTTTTTTTTTTTTTTGAAAAGAAAGTGCTTTTTGTCTAGCTGGGTTGTAGAGATTGATATTTAGTTTCCTAGCTATTTAAACTGGCACAATACTTCAATGGCATTTTCATTTGTAGTTTCAAAATCTGAAGTAACTTTTGGATATCAAAGACTTCCCAATGTCTACACTCAAAATATTCAATTTCGTTTTCTTTCAACTCTGAATGATTGGTCTCGATCATTGAGAAGGGAGGGAATTGTTAGTCAACACTCCACCATGTTGTAAGCTCCCTGCTATTTTGAAGACCTTGGTCAAAGTGAAATGTTTCACAGGGGTTCAGGCCATCAGAAGCAACCTGCCTAACCACGTGACCACAAGGCAGACAAAGGCCCAACTAAAGAAACAACCCCATCGTATCTTGCCGGACAAAGGTCCAGGGAACACCACAATGACATCCCGCCAGAGCAAGGGCCAGAACCGCCTTATCACGGGAACATCTGACCAACATCCTGTGGGTAGCAAGCCATACTGCCCAGACCCCTCCTGCCCATACCCTTATACTCCCAGCCTATGCACAGTGGTGGGCTCTGGCATTAGGCTTCACGCTGGACATAAAACCTGCATTTGCTGTTGAGCGCCCTCTTTCTGTGTGTGCATCTTTCTTTAACCCCCATCTTCCCTTCAAAACCTAACAGGAATATTTTTCTTTTTCTTTTTTTCAAGATGGAGTTTCGCTGTGTTACCCAGGCTGCAGGGCCACAGCACAATCTCAGCTCACTGCAACCTCAGCTTCCTGGGCTGAAGCAATTCTCCTGCCTCAGCCTCCTGAGTAGCTAGGATTACAGACACCCGCCACTATGCCCAGCTAATGTTTGTATTTTTAGTAGAGACAGAGTTTCACCATGTTGGCCAGGCTGGTCTTGAACCACCGGGATCAAGCAATCCTTCCGTCTTGCCCTCCCAAATTGCTGGGATTCCAGGTAGGAGCCACTGTGCCCAGCCTACTCTTCCTCTTCCATCTGTGCCTCTCCCTGCAGGCAGTTGCTGCACCCTGAGCGCCTGGCATACCTGTGGCCCCAAAGAGGTGCTCAAACACATGATTCCCTGGGGGCCTCGGATCTGGGTGGCTCCCTTGTGTGACATGAGGCAGGAAACAGATCTCACTGGGTCACATGCTGCCTTAGGTGATGAGGGCTGTTCTTGTTCTCTTGTGAGCCAGCTGTGGCCACTCTTCCAGAGGACCCTCTCCCCATGCCTGGCCTGGCTGGCAGCCTTCCTGACCTGCCCAGGGTGGTATCTACCACACACTCCAAAGCTGGCCTTTTGCTGTGAGTTCCTGAAGGGCAAGGCGTATCTGTGAGTCACCACCGCTGGGGCCTGGTAGGGTGAAGAGACATCTAAGCAGGACTGCTGCCAACCCCCTCCTGGGTCCGGAGTGGAGGAGCTGGCAACTCACTCCACCTTGTGGGGCTGATGGGAGGCCTCAAAGAGGCCGTGGTGATTCCACTGGGCTCAGGAGCACCAGGGGCTTCTTGGGGCTTGTGTCTGGGAGCAAGACCAGGCCCTGGGGCTTCTAGGCCTGCTTGTCTTAGGGGCGGCCTGAGGATGGCCTGGGGTTGGTCCGTGGGTGTTCCAGGGCCTCCTACATCTGAGGGCCTTGCCCTTGCCCTTCAGCGCAACCCTCTGGTGCCTCTACAGAGCTCATCCTGGTGGAGGACCTCACACCCAGAAGAAGTGACCTACAGACATCTTGGCAACCAGATACAGCCCTTGTCCTGCCACCTCTTGCCTGGGCGAGACCCACCAGCGGATGCCCCGCCTTCCAACACGCAGCCTGACCCTCCCTAAATCTTCCTCCTGCAGCTGGAGCTCCACATCAGGAAACACTCTGGTTACTTCTTTCTCAACAGCAGTGCCACAGATGGCATCAGGTGGCCTACCAGGAGGCCAGGGCCGTCACCATGGTGAGCGTGGGCCATCAGTCCCCCCAGGGTGGTTTTTCATTCCTCATCTGGGCCATTCTGTGATTAGTAGATTGGTTGTTTTAAAAAGCTGTCACTGAATCTCATCAGCTATAACTGGCAAAGCCTTTAGAGTCTCTGATTCTTTCTGCTACTTTAGTCATTTCTATGCTACCTTTGTGATTTTTTTTTTTTTTTTTTTTTTTTGCTTTTTTTGAGACAGGGCCTCACTCTATTGCATGGCCTAGAGTGCAGTGGCAGGATCATAGCTCACTGCAACCTCGACCTCCTGGGCTCACGAGATTCTCCCACCTCAGCCTCTCAAGTAGATGGGACTATAGGTGCATGCTCCCACACTCAGCCAATATTTTGTAGAAACAAGGTCTCACCATGTTGCCCAGGCTGGTCTCAAACTCCTGGGCTCAAGAGATCCACCAGCCTTGGTCTCCCAAACTGCTGGCATTACAGGCGTGACCCTCTGCACCCAGGCTACCGTTGTGATTTTCATTCTATGTCTACAAACTACCCACACTGTTACCTAATGGTTTCCTTTCAGTCGATCTTTCCATTAAGATTAAACTGTTGTTACATAAGCAGCACTCTAACAACCTTAAAGAAAATGGCTTTTAAAAGAGGTTGCACCTTTCTCTGTTTCCCCAGGTTGATTTCTTGGCCCTCTCCCTATTCTTGCAAGTGTTGACCTAACTGTGCTCGTGGCGTGGAAGAATTTAGTGTTCTGCTGTTTTCCATTATCTTATTCTCAACTTTTTCTGTTTCTCCATGTTGTTATGGAGGGCGGCTGATTATTTTTATGCCATCATTTGTGCTTTAGACATTCTCTCTAAACAGAGTATTTGGATGGTCTTAAGCTTTCTGTTCTTTCAAAAATATAGGATAGTGTAGAATAAAAAGTAAAAACAAACACTATGAAACATGTCTGCATGTCTGCACGATGGGTTATGATACAACCATGAATACAGAACTTACTTTAAGAGGGAACTACTGAGATTATAATAAACCCTCCCTAGGTCATCAGCCCAAGGCAGCCCAAAGCTCATTGGTTTGATACAACAATGGCAGTGACACCCACCCCAGCACGTCATTAAATCACAGCTGTGCTGTGGCCTTTGAGCGGCTCTGAGCCCAAGACCCGCTTTCCTCCATTAAAAGGGGAGGTTCCGCGTGATTGAGGAGTGCTGCAGTCAGGCCAGCTTCAGAGACTTTTCCCGGACCCAGCGAGGCCTGGGTTGATTCGGCGCTTGGCGTGTGGTGGGGACTCAGACGGTGTGGCCCTGTGGACAGGCTAGAGGAGCGCTGACGGTGAGTCTCCTGCCATCCTGATGCCCAGGTTTGCTCTCAGCTTTGCCTGGTTCATGGAGGTAGCCCTCGCAGGCTCGCAGCAGCGGGAAACAACTTCCTGGCTGCAGGAAAGACCAGAGTCGGAGTTCGCCTTTGCAGTGACCATGTCCCAGAGTCTCCTTTCAGAAACACAGCCAGGGACCTTTCTCTGGCTTTTTTGCACCTACTGACTGTCTTCACATAGACCGTCACCAAATTAACTTCCTGTGGGCCCGCACAGGTGTAAAGTCTAAGGGGAGGCAGCAGGGTGTGAGAAATACAGCTGGAAGTGCTGTGCTAAATGGACCTGGCTCCGAGGTGCAGTGTCGGGAGTAACAGGGGGTGGTGGGGACTGTGGCAAACTGGAGTGCACGGGCCAGGTCCAAGGGCAGTCACTGTGCACCTCTAGCTGATTTCTCTTGTTGTTGTTGTTGTTGTTGTTGAGACGGAGTTTTGCTCTTGTTACCCAGGCTGGAGTGCAACGGCGCGATCTCGGCTCACCGCAACCTCCGCCTCCTGGGTTCAGGCAATTCTCCTGCCTCAGCCTCCTGAGTAGCTGGGATTACAGGCACGCGCCACCATGCCCAGCTGATTTTTTTGTATTTTTAGTAGAGATGGGGTTTTACCATGTTGACCAGGATGGTCTCGATCTCTTGACCTCGTGATCCACCCGCCTCGGCCTCCCAAAGTGCTGGGATTACAGGCTTGAGTCACCGCGCCCGGCTCTGTTATTGTTTTAATCACAGCTGTATTAAGGTAATTCACACACCATACAATTCACACACCTGAAGCATACAGTTCAGGGCTTTTTAGTGCATTCACAGTTGGCCACCATCACCAAGTCACTTGTACAGTGTTTCCGTTACCTCACAAAGAAACCTATTCACTCCAGCTGTTACCTCCCTATTGTTTTTATTTATTTATTTATCTTGAGATGGAATTTCATTCTTTTTGCCCAGGCTACAGTGCAATGGCATGATCTCAGCTCACTGCAACCTCTGCCTCCCAGGTTCAAGCAATTCTCCTGTCTCAGCCTCCCAAGTAGCTAGGACTACAGGCACATGCCACCACACCTGGCTAATTTTTGTATTTTTAGTAGAGATGGGGTTTCTCCATATTGGTCAGGCTGATCTTAAACTCTTGACCTCAGATGATCCACCCACTTCAGCCTCCCAAAGTGCTGGGATTACAGGTGGGAGCCACTGTGCCCAGCCACCTCTTTATTATTTTGTGTGTGTGTGTGTGTGTGCACACGCACACACACACACACACACACACACACACACACCCCTTGATCCAGGTTTGAACAACCACTGATCTATTTTGTGTCTCTGTAGATTTGGCTGTTTTGAACATCTTACGCAGGAATCACATAATGTCTGGTCAGCTGAAAGGGCAGCTGGCTAGAAATTCAGCCACAGGGGCACAGGGCCCTGCGTATTCCTCGTCTTTGTGGTCTGACCTTGCTAGGCACCCTTCCTCACTTGGTCCCTCATCTGGTGGGTTGAGGAAGGTGCTGGGAAAAGGCCCTGATGGTCTTGGCAGGTGGAGGGGCTGTACCACCAGCTGCATCTGAAAGGTGTCTTCATCACACAATCAGCATCCTAAGGCCGTGGGGTGGGCCAGGACTAGCAGGAGACTGAGCAGAAGGATGAGTGAAAGGAGGGTATGAGTGCTTATTAAGCACCTACTATGTGCCAGGCATTAGCCCAAGTCACAAGGCACAGAAGGTGGGCTCAGCATGAGCACATGCCAAAGGGCCTAAGGGCAGCCTCAGTTCAGCATGAGTCAGCAGCACTAGGAAGAAGCCAGGAGAGTTAGTTACTCTTTGGCCATATTAATAGTAGTATGGAGTTAAGAATGAAAGAGGTTATACAGGTGTCCCCAAACTACGGCCCACGGACCGCATGCGGCCCCCTGAGGCCATTTATCCGGCCCCCCGATGCACTTCAGGAAGGGGCACCTCTTTCACTGGTGGTCAGTGAGAGGAGCACAGTATGTGGCGGCCCTCCAGCTGTCTGAGGGACAGTGAACTAGCCCCCTGTGTAAAAAGTTTGGGGACATCTGCTCTAAATCATCTCTCTCAAGTTCAGAGTCCCACAGATCTCTAGGGCAGGGGCAAAATTCTGTCAGTCCTTTTGCTAAAACATAACAAGAGACACCCTTATTCCAGTTTCCAACAAGTTCCTCATCTCCATTTGAGACCACCTAAACCTGGACATCATTGTCCATATCACTATCCACATTTTGGTCAAAGCCATTCAACGAGTCTCTAGGAAGTTACAAACTTTCCCACATTTTGCTGTCTTCTTCTGAGCCCTCCAAACTGTTCCAACCTCTGCCTGTTACCCAGTTCCAAAGTTGCTTCCACATTTTTGGGTATCTTTACAGCAGCACCTCACTCTACCAGCACATTTAGTCCATTCTGTATTAGTCTGTTCTCATGCTGCTAATAAAGACATACCCAGGACAGTAATTTATAAAGGAAACAGGTTTAATGTACTCACAGTTCTACATGGATGGGGAGGCCTCACAATCATGGCAGAAGGCAAAAGAAAAGCAAAGGCATGTCTTACATGGTGGCAGGCCAGAGAGCTTATGCAGGGGAACTCCCATTTAGAGAACTATCAGATCCTGTGAGACTTATCTACCACAAGAATAGCATAGGGGAAACTGCCCCCATGATTCTATTATCTCCACCTGGTCCTGCCCTTGACACATAAGGATTATTACAATTCAAGGTGAGATTTGGGTGGGGACACAGAGCCAAATCATATCAGCTATATTGGTTTCAATGTTTCTTTCTTTCTTTTTTTTTTTTTTTTGAGACGGAGTTTCGCTCTTGTCACCCAGGCTGGAGTGCAATGGCGCGATCTCGGCTCACCACAACCTCCACCTCCTGGGTTCAGGCAATTCTCCTGCCTCAGCCTCCTGAGTAGTGGGGATTACAGGCATGCGCCACCATGCCCAGCTAATTTTTAGTAGAGACGGGGTTTCACCATGTTGACCAGGATGGTCTCGATCTCTTGACCTCGTGATCCACCCACCTCAGCCTCCCAAAGTGCTGGGATTACAGGCTTGAGCCACCACGCCCGGCCTATTTATTTCTTTTTTTTTTTTTTGAGACGGGGTTTTGCTCTTGTTACCCAGGCTGGAGTGCAATGGCGCGATCTCCGGCTCACCGCAACCTCCGTCTCCTGGGTTCAAGCAATTCTCCTGCCTCAGCCTCCTGAGTAGCTGGGACTACAGGCACGCGCCACCATACCCAGCTAATTTTTTGTATTTTTAGTAGAGACGGGGTTTCACCATGTTGACCGGGATGGTCTCGATCTCTTCACCTTATGATCCACCCGCCTCGGCCTCCCAAAGTGCTGGGATTACATATTTCTTTTTTAAAGATGGGGTTTCACCATGATGGCCAGGCTGATCTTGAACTCCTGACCTCAGGTGATCCACCCACCTTGGCCTCCCAAAGTGCTAGGATTACAGGCGTGAGCCACCACGCCTGGCCCAGCTATATTGGTTTGCTGCCCACTTTTGCAGGGCCCTTGAGCTAAGAAGAGTTTTTACACTTTTAGATGGCTGAAAACATCAACAGAACACTATTTCATCACAAGTGAAAGTTCTGTGTAATTCCAGTGTCCATTGTTATTGGAGCACATCCAGGCCCATTCATTTCCATGTGGTAAAGCACTGTTTTTGAACAATGACAGAGCTGACTGGTTGTGGCAAAGACCACATGGCCTACAAAGCCTGAACTGTTTACCAACCAGCAATTGCCAACTCCTCTGGGAACTCCAGGCTGGCTCCCACCTCAGGAGCTGTGCTGTGTAAATGTCGCCTCTTCACAGGGCCCTTCTCTGTCTACCTTTCACACCTCCATGACACCCTCCATCCCATCCTGTCTCTTTCCTCGTCTGGACTCATCTGATCTGAACTGGTCTTCAATTTGTGCACTCCCACTAGAGTGTCAGCTCGTGGAGGACAGGAATCCATCAGCCCTGCTCATCCCTGGATCACATCTAGTGACAGCCTGGCATATCGAGAGCGCTCAGTGCCCATTTGTTTACTGACTAACTGATGGCACCAGGACAAGGAGCAAGTGTTGAAGCTGAGGGGAATCCCAAATCCTGTCTTCCAGATAGAAGTCTGCTCCTTGCTTCTTTCTAGGATGGATGAAGTGGGGCCTGGGGAGGAGACGGTGGGAGAGGGAAAACTGCTACTGTGGATTCTGTTACACAGAAGCCAGTGGGTACAACCATCTTTCACCCAAACAGGGGAGCAGCTGCAAGTGCCCCTGGAGACCGGCCACATAACCTCGACCTTGCCCATCAGAAGAGCCCAACCTCCCCAGCTACAGTGAATGGCTAACGTTTGGGCATGTGACCATTTAGGTGGTGAGAATCAGGGCAAGGGTTGATAGCAGGGGAGAGAAGGTCTATTTCTGTTGGGTGGCTGTGGATGTGGGTGCCATCTTCTCACCTTGAAAGGAAAGCCCCCCTGAGCATGACACCACACTGAGAGACGGACACAGAGTCAGAGGTTGCGAGAGAGTCCAGGTGATATTATTGAGCACCCAGGTGCAGCCAAGGTACTGTTACCTCAGAACATTCTCACTGGGATCCAGGTGGCTGTGAAGGTCATCTAGAGAGGTCAGCAGAACTCCTTCAGCCTCTGGAGTCCATAGCTGTGAAGTCGATATAATGAGGGTCCTAAATCACCCAACGTCCACCAGCTTCTCCCTGACTCCCTGTGACTCCCTGTGAAGTAGGGGCAGCTACTTCACTACATCCTACAGCCCTGCCAAAAGCAGGAGAAAGGGGCCTGAGGCGAGTTTTGGCAAATACCATCTGCCCTACAGTATCACCACCAAAATAAACATTTCCGCAGGAACCTGGTGCCCCAGAATGTACTTATATTTACAAGATGCCAACTACAACATAAAATAGCTGACTTTGTCTTTGGCA